GCCACCTGTTGGCAGCTCGACAGCTCAGCTCAGGTGCAGCGTCACAGGCCCATGTGGGAATCAAATCAGCGGCCTTGTTGCTCAGAGCTCACACTCTTAAGCCAACTCTTAACCAACTGAGCCACTCGGCCGGCCCAATAACTGAATTTTTAATTTTACTTCATTTTAATTAATTTTAGTTAAAGTAGCCACAAGTGGCCAGTGGCTACCGTATTGGACAATAAGGTTCTAGAATGCTAAATGACATTTCAAGACAGTATTGATTTAGATTTTCTTAAGTCATCAGAATTTTTAGCCAGTAGCCTTATGAATATAACTTATATTCACTTCTTAAAAAAAAAAAAAGTCAAGGGCCGGATAGGTGAGTCAGTTGGTTAGAGCATGAGCTCTGAGCAACAGGGTTGCCGGTTCGATTCCCACATGGGCCAGTGAGCTGCGCCCTAGCTGAGCTGCCGCTCGGCTGCCAATGGGCAGCCAGGTGGTTCAGCTGGTGAAAGCGCATGCTCCTAACAACAAGGTTGCTGGTTCAACTCCTGCATGGGATGGTGGGCTGCACCCCGCTGCAACTAGATTGAAAGCAGCTTCTGGACTTGGAGCTGAGCTTGCGCCCTCCACAGCTAAGGTTGAAGGACAACAACTTAACTTGGAGCTGATGGGTCCTGGAAAAACATGATGTTCCCTTCCCCAATTCCCCAACACTGTTCCCCTCCCCAATTTCCCAATAAAATCTTATTAAAAAAAAAAAGTCAATTCAAGATATCCTATGCTTTATTTCTGTCGAGTGAGTGAAGGAATTCCTGAACAGTTAAGAGATGTGCTGTCCAACACGGCAGCCACTGACATGTTCCCATCAGGCTGGTCTGAACTGAGATGTGCTGTAAATGGAAAATACACTGGGTTTCAAAGAGTTCATATGAAAAATAAACGTAAAATGCCTCATTAGCTTTTAAATATTGGTTACCTGTTGAAATGTTAATGTTTTGATATGCTAGGTTAAACAAGTATCAAGATTAATTCCACCTGGTTCTTTTTGCTTTTGTAATGCAGCTACTAGAAAATGTGAAGTTACATATGTGGCTTGAATGAAATTTCTATTGGACAGTGACATTTTAGAGTGTAAATCTGGAAAGTACATTGGGGTTATTTACAATGATAGTCATATAAATGCTAGTTAATAATCATTTTATAATATTCCTAAAAAGGCAAGTATTTTCCAAAGGATCTGGACATTGCCAGGAAAACAAAAAGACTCTCAAATACATAGTAAAATGGGGTGGAGGGGGGATTAATAACAAGATTACTTCAAGAGCAGCCCACAAAAGAAAAAATGAAAAATATACTTCCTCTGGTCAAAAATTGAAACCCTCCAAGCATTACATGCCGAAGGGATGGGGGAGGACCGTTTTAAAGGCTCTAAGGGAAAGAAACAGTCTCTTCTCTCGGGACATCTACTTAATGTACTTTTGACAGTTTGATGTTTGTACAAAGTTCTTAAGCTACTGATAAATGGCTTACACATATAAACAAATAATCATGAGATGTAAAAAGAAATCCCAGAAGAAAAGGGCATTCGCGCGGTGATAGCCACCTTACCTGGACTGATGACCACCCAGCCGCCCCGCTCCTGCTGGTGCATCCACGCTCTCCAGCCTCGGGCGCCCTTCTCCCCAGCTCGGGGCTCTCCACTGTCCCAAAAGGGCTCAAAGAATTCTACCTGTTCAGGTGTAAAACATGGAGGTGAGCCTCACGTGTGCCAAACTGCTGAGTCACTGGGCAAAATAGGTGCTGACTGGCATAAGAGGGGCTTGTGACTCTTGAAAGCCTGTCTGCCATCAGTCTTTGAAGTAGCTATATGATATACGCCCCAAACAGAAAACAAAATTATCTAGTGTGAGAGGCAGCTTCCACGATGGCCCCCCCGACTCTCCCCTACCTTGTGGTATTCACACCCTTGAGTGTGGGCTGGACCCAATGATTTCTTCTAACAAATACAATATGACAAAAATCGATGGGATGACACTTCCAAGATTAGGTTACAACAAGACTGGCCAAGGTCACCGAGAAGGGTAGGGGAGGAACGGTTTCCCAGTTCTGACCCTGGTAGGCCAGTCTAACAGAGGACAGTGGCACTGCCAGCTCCCCTAATGCCACTGGGTACCCTAACTGGCACCTGAAGTCACACTGCTTTCGAGGCCTTTTGAGGGGAAGGGGAGTCAAGGTTTCAATAGGACAGACTCTGAGGTCTTGAGAACATGAGCTCATGTCAACTAACCGCACGGTCCGAACACCTGGCCCAGTGCCCAGCACACAGTAGGGACTCACTATGTGCTTGCTGGCACAGAGCTGAACACGGCAGGCACCCAATGAGTAAGAAGGTCTGCGTGTTAGAGCCTGGCCCCGTGGCCACACTCCCCGACTCACTCATTAGGACATTAGGTCAGTAGCGTATGGCAACCGGTTCAGTGGCAATAAACAGTGCCACGTGGAACAGAATGTGATCACAGCAGCGAACCGGAAAGTGACCATGTTATTAACTGACAATAAGGACATTAAAAGTGAGCCAATAACTTGCTCAATGAAAGCTTTTGTAAGAAACCTTTCGAGGAGGATGAGCAGGCTTCCATCGGGCACAGCACAGGCCAGGAGCCACGGGATTATCCAGCCTGAGCCCCTGGGAGGACTTCCCACGCCAGGAAGAGGACGGTCCAGGAGAGCCAAGGGAGGGCGGGGTGACCGTCCCGCCGGGGGCCCTGGCCTCGGAGCGAGCGCACGTCAGCCACCTCAGGACGGGGACCTGGGAAGACTACCCTCCCTCTTTACAGGTTTGGCTCTTATCAGAGGGATGGAAGAAAGTGCACTCCAGAAAAAGAAGGGGTTTTGTTTTTTTTTTAAGTGTGATAAATGGTTATAACCAATTTATTTATTCCACAGAAACACAGACCAGTAATACCAGACTGCCTGTTTTATGTTATACTACTATGTTTATGGTAACAATGTCTCCTAGTTATAAAGATGTGGAATGTCATTAAATAGAAAGCTTTATTTCAAAGCTGTCAGGTAAATACTTTGCAATTACATATGCTGTTAGTATTTAAAATCTCAAGAGTGTGGATCACAGCCTGGGCCATGCCCACCGCCTCTCACCCCCGCAATGAGTAATTGCTCTCATCATGCTGTGTCAGCAAAGGGGGGGCATGGGGGTGATTCTGCTTCTCACCCCCAACCACACTCCCCTTGCTCTACAGAGTCAGCTAAGAATCGGTTCTGTAGCTTAGCATATTCTTAAGATAGCAAAGCACGTCTCAAAATAACTTTGTTATCTGGCTTATTATACTAATAATCAGTTACACCAATATTAACCAATATTCTTTAATCCAATTTTGTCCAGAAAAAAAAAAGAAATAATGATAAAAATAGTCTTTACAGGCAATTCATGAAAATTCCACAAGATGGAGACCTTAGCCTCTCAAGAAAGGCCTCTGAAAGGTGGCCATAAATTCAGATATCCTACCTATCTTCCACCAGACCCTCTCTGCAGAGAAGGAAACTGGGTTTTCTTAGTGGAAAAAGGGAAAAGAAGGCTTTTTTACAGGGATAGCTCTATGATATTTTTATTGCTTCACATCACAAATACAGCAATGTCCACTTGTCATCTAAATGACTAACCCCTCCCTAATTCAGATTGGTGCTGACAAAGTGCCAACGTGTCATCTCATTTGTGACTCCAGCCAAGATTTCAGGTAGTGGAAAGGTTAACTGGGGAAGTGACACAAGGCCCAGATTAGAAGGCACACAGGTAGGGGAGAGAGACACGTTTAAAAGGTATGACTGTTTCCCTGACTGGTGGGGGAGCTGGCATTTAACAAGGGCCATAAGTGAGAAAAAGAAAAGGCTATAAGTCAGTCTTTATATTTGGGGGCGAGGAGGGGATCTTCTTTGATTTCTCCATGTTTAACTACTTTTCTTACGGAGTTTTCCTTGGATTGCCAGAATATTGCTGAGAAACAGTCCTCAGCAGGACTGATATAAAGAATATGGTATTTTAAAAATACTACCACCACCTCCCATAATCCACAGCTCCCCCCAAGAGAGAGGAGGAGGGGAGGACAGAGAAGGAAGGTGGGGGGAGAGTGCGCACGCGCACATACACGCGCGCACGCAGAGCTGTACCTGTCCTTTGGTAGGCAAATCTTTCACACTGTCAGGTTTGAAGAAGGTGAAGTCAATCATGGCCTGGAACAAAGAGATGGCCTTCTCAGAGTGGCCAGCCTGGCGCAGGAAGTGGCACTGCTGAAGAAAGAGTGCTGAAAGCAGGGCGCGAAGGGGAAGAATCCTGGTTAACAGCACTGAAGGGGAGGAACATAACTTCTAAACACATGCAGTGCAACGCGGAAAATGTCTCCCTGAAATTCGCTACTGTTGTATTTCCAAAGCTGTGATGCCTCCATGTCCTGATTTAAAAGGACTCCCAACAGTACTGTAATCAAAGCGTATGTATTCTAATCTTTACATGAGACCATCACAGAATACAAATATTAACAATATTAAAAATAAAACTATATGTCACATAAGCATAAGGCAAGAGGCTGCTGGTCTGGGTACTGGTAATCACTAAAAGCTCATTATTACAAGAAAAATTCTAGGAAAAGGATGGCGTAGATTTTTTTTAAATCAGAAAGCAAAGATGTGTACTCAGTTGGTCACTAGGTGGCAATATTTACCAGCCATTTTCACCATATGCTCAGAGTCGGCTGTAAACAAATCAAGGTCCCGTGCGTGAAAATTTCACTTGGTCTAAACTGTGGTGCAAGACTAAGTAACACAAAGCTATTTGAGCATATCACAAATGATATCAAATATGAGACTCTTTATGTCAAGGTCATGCAGGCTTATTATTTCTAGAGCAATATATGTATACCTTTAAAAGTTAATAGTAACAGCAGCGTTTTGATCAAATAAATGCGTGCCGTGTGCCAGGCACTGAGCTAGACTCACCACATAGTATCGCAATGCGCACAATAATCCTGTAAATCAGGTATTATACTATTGTTGCTGAGGGACAGACTGGAGCTCAAATACGTTAAGGGACCTATCCAAGGTCACCCCAGAACTAACGAAGGGCAAACCCAGGAGTCAGGTCAAGGGTGATACTCTCCAGCTCCTGTGTAACATGCTGCCGCCGGTATCTCATTACCGGACGAAATTTATATTCTAGGCTCCTTTGGGAAGCCTCAAAAATGTGAACAGTATAATATCATTAACCTATATATCTATGCAATGATTTCCAGTCAGTCAGGGCATCTCGCAAACATGACTGCCTCAGTCCTCAGAACTGGGTGTGATGAACATCTCAATGGACAAGGACACCGACAGCCAAAGCGGTTAAGGGACCTGCCTGTGCCTCCTGGGTTAATAAGTAGACAAGCTGGAACTACTCGTCTGGTGGTACTTTCCTAACTCTACTGGGTCTGAC